ATATTGCGGAGCATCGCAAACGACTGGTAAGTCTGTTAAATGAGTTATAAGTTAATTTAATTCATTTACTCATGTTTACATTTTGTAGGCACAAGAATTGGGGACGGAACCGACATTTGCAGCTACATTTGAACGCACATTTCAAAAGAAAGATAAGACATGGACTGGCGATCGAGCAAAAGCTGTTAAGGTATGTAAGGTTATACTTTGGCTTATATGTAAACTATAATGAAAACCGTGAATGCTTTCAATATTTATGGTAGATATATATATAGTGATTTTATTTTCATCTACATTGTTAATGTAGGAAAAATATGATGAACTTTTAATGAACAGTGCTAGTGGTAGTGATGATTGTCCTGAGTCCGGGCCATCAGTTGATAATATAACATTATGGATGGAGGCAACGGGTGGGGTGAAAAAAGGGAAAATATTTGGGATGGGATCATTGTCAAGGATGTACATGCCGAATAATCCTGGAAGTTCATCATCCACTGCGACTGGTCGAAGGAAGTCACGACAAGACGAGCAATTGACCCAAGAAGTGCATCGTCTGAATAATTTACTTGTTCATAAGGACGAACAAATAAATAACTTGGAACAACAAATGAGACTCGTTATGCGACACCTTAACGTCAATCGCTATGACGATCCTCCTATACCTCCAGCCAATCCAATAGGTGATGGGCACAATGATGACCAACACATTGATGCCGAGAATGCTGATGATGATGATGATGATGATGATTTTCTCCAGACTTTCTAGTTAAAATTCTCAAAATTGGGGGTAAGCTTGCTTCATAATCTTGGTTTTTCATAATTTCACTCATATTCATATGTAAGAACATTTATGTTCGTCCTGAAACATATTTTTGTTAACCCTCTTGTTATTTTACACCTAGTTCCACATCCATGCATAAACGCTTCTTTTATATTCTGGACTGATTTATGCATCGACATTTCCTCAGGTCTCGACAAAAGTGACTACTTTTGGTGTCCTGCCATCGTACCAAAGCTGCGTCTTCTTGTGTATGGTTTTTCTGCGTCTTCTATGGTTGTCCCGTCTCTTAGTTCATGTTTTGAATGTATTGTAAGATTAGATATCAAATAGCATCATGTCAGACTCTGCAACTTTCCTTCAGTTATTTGTTTCAATTATATGTCACTACAAAAAAACTGATTTTTTCCGACGAAATTTCCAACGAAAAGTTTGGAAAAATTTGTTGGAAAACGAATTTCCAACGAATTTTCCAACGAAAAAAAATTCGTTGGTAATAGGTCGTCGGAAATTTTTCCAACGAAAAATTTCAATTTTCGTTGGAAATTTGCGATGAATTTTATTTCGTTGGAAAATTCGTTGGAAAACTCGTGGCTAAATTCGTTGGAAAAATTACAAAATTTTTTTTTTGGTCGAAAAATCGTGGAAATTTTTTTTCCAACGAAATTTTTTTTTTTTTTGAAAAATCGCCCTCGCCGCCGCGAGGGCCGAGGTCGCCCAGATCTGGGCGAGCTCGAGCTCGTCGCCGGCGAGGCCCAGCCTCGTCGCGGGCTGGCGACGAGGAGGCGGTCGAGAAAAGGAGGGGGAGAGGCGGGCGACGAGGGGCTCGGGGGAGCCGAGGAAGGGGTGGCGGCCGGGGAGGGGGCGGAGGCCGGAGGCGCGGGGGACGGGGGAGTCGGGGGCGAGGAGGAGGCGGTCGAGGTGGACGAAGTGGCCGAGCTGGAGGCGGTTGGAGAGGATGAGGTCGGCGTTGCGGTCGGAGAGGGAGACGTAGGTGGAGTGGAGGGAGTCGGAGAGGTGGAGGAAGAAGCCGTGGTTGGGCCAGAGGTCATCGGGGGCGGCGAGGGCGGGGACGATGCCGACGACCTGGAGGAGGGCGGAGCAGTGGTCGCCGGCGACGCGGGCGTTGGAGGAGTTCATGGACTGGAGGAGCTTCAGGAGGATGCCCTGCGTGAGGGTCGCCATCTTCCCCGGTCTGCTCTCTCTGCTCTTCTGCTTCTGCTTCTCTGTCTCTGCGTGTGTACGTGTGTGGTGAAGAAAGTGAGGGACGCGACGATAGAAGAGAGAGGAGAGAGAGAGAGTGACTCTGTCACGAGATTCAAATTCAAAATCCCGCGAATATTACTAATTTTTCAGTGTGTATAATTTTCATTGAAAAATTCGTTGGAAATTTCCAACGAATTTTCCCACGAAAATAGTACACACTGAAAAAATTCCCCGGAAAATTGAAATTCGTTGGAAAATTCGTTGGAAATTTCCAACGAATTTTCCAACGAATATAAAAAATGCCGAACAAGACCGATTTTTTTGAATTCGTCGCAAAATTCGTTGGAAATTTCCAACGAATTTTCCCACGAAAATAGTACACACTGAAAAAATTCCCCAGAAAATTGAAATTCGTTGGAAAATTCCAACGAATTTTCCAACGAATATAAAAAATGCCGAACAAGACCGATTTTTTTTTAATTCGTCGCAAAATTCGTTGGAAATTTCCAACGAATTTTCCAACGAAAATAGTACACACTGAAAAAATTCCCCGGAAAATTGAAATTCATCGCAAAATTCGTTGGAAATTTCCAACGAAGTTTGCGACGAAAAATTTTTCGTTGGAAAACTCGTGGCTAAATTCGTTGGAAAACTCGTGGCTAAATTCGTTGGAAAAATTACAAAATTTTTGAATTACAAACTTCGTTGGAAAATTACAAACTCGTGGCTAAATTTCCAACGAATTTTCCAACGAAGATAAAAAATGCAGACTAATACCGGGTTTTTTTGAATTTTTTCGTTGGTAATTACCAACGAATTTTGCGACGAAAATTTTTTCGTTGGAAATTTCCAACGAATTTTGCGACGAAAAATTTTTCGTTGGAAATTTCCAACAAATTTTACTTTTCGTTGGAAAATTTGTCGCAAGTTTGCGACGAAAATTTTTTCGTCGTAAATTTTCGTGGCAAAAATCCGATTTTTTTGTAGTGTGTCATTGTGGCTGGTTTGTCAGAATCTATGGTTTGTTCGTTTTTCTGTTTCAATTATATGTCATTGTCTCCTTTGTTTGATATGGACAAGAATTTATGGCCGAAATGATGTAAAAATAGCAACGAATATTTTAAGCCGAATTTTGCGATCATTACAGTTCGTCGCTAATTTGCGATGAACACATTTTGCAACGAATTTTACGACGAATTTTGCGACGAAATTGCGCCGAAATTGCGACGACATTTGCGACGAATTTTGCGACGGTTCGTCGCAAATTTGCGACGAAATATTTGCGACGGATTGTATTCATGGCCAATTTGCGACGAATTTTCCGACGACATTTGCGACGAATTTTGCGACGAAATTTGCGACGAGAATTTGCGACGAATTTGCGACGAATTTTGCGATGGATAGTGTTTGTCGCAAATTTGCGATGAAATATTTACGACGAATTTTGCGACGGATTTATTTTCGTCGCAATTTTGCGACTAATTTTGCGACGAATTTATTTTCGTCGCAATTTTGCGACGAACTTTTAAATTTTCCGTCGCAAAATTTTGCGACGACCTAGTAGCGACGGAATTTCCGTCGCAAATTTCGTCGCTAATCCGGTGTTTTTTTGTAGTGTATAGTTCCTCCGAAGAGGTGCGACTCTTACGAAACGGAATGTACTTTGATGGAAGGCACCTATTAATAGCCCATATAAATAGAGTCTAGTCCTCTCTCCACCCAAGAAGAACGAACATTGTATTTTATCCTCCATCAGATAAGATACGTTAAGGGAACATTGTATTCTACGATTCTTCTATTTTTGCGACAATTATCTTCAAGAGCAACTCTATGGAGATAACAATATGCGACGGAAAATTTCATTTGAAATTGCATTATCACCTCACATGTTAGTGGCTATGTTAAAAATCAATTCAACCTGCATGTAAAACATTTTTTATGAAAAAGATATAGTACTGAAATGGCGTTAGAGTAATCGAGCGTAATCAAGTCCCCGAATCCATATTCTCCGCTTTGTATAAGTAAAGTAAATCTCATAATGATGTACTTGGATTTCTAATCGATCCAACAAAAATCTGATTAGTGGTGACTCCTAATTTAAATGATTTTTCATGTCAAGCATTTGAACGTAAGTTGCGCATTGATATGAGTTTGAGAGAGCCCGAGCAAAGTTTAGGTTACCCTTAGGTGGTCCACCATCGGGAGGGTCGCGACACCTAGTGATAAAGGAGTCATATTCTTCTCAATGATATCACAAACTCGGGTTATGTTGCAAGCGGATCACTGGTTAACTTGTGGTTTGGGCATTTATTATTCATGTGGAGAAACTTCTTCACTACTAAGACGCCAATAGGACTGAGGTAATGAGTTCGAACACCTATACCATGAGTTAGTGGGTTTGTTATTACTTTGTCACTTTCTTGTTATTTGATTTCAGTAGAATTACAAGAGGTCGCGTTAAATTAGATCAAATTTGAGATCTCATGCTTTCTTTGAAAAACTTGTGAGTACTTTTGAAACATACCATTTCTATCGGTTCAAGCTAGACATGGCCATGGTTCGGAACCGGCGGTTCTGGTTCGTGGCCATGTATGAACCGGAACTAGCGGTTTCGGGCCAGTTCCGATTCCGGCCCGGTTTGGAACCGGCAGGTAAAAATTAAAAAAATAAATTATGAATTATCAAATTATGAAATAATGAATTATTCAATATAAAATGTAATCAAAATGTACATTGTAATCAAATTTGGGGAAAAAAAGAGTTTCTCCACTTATCTGCAGTTTTTTTTTTTAACCGGGCCCGTAGGCCACGGGCCGGTTTTGGTTCCGAACCACGGGCCCGGTCAATGGGCCGGTCCCAGGTTTGACCCGGGCCGGTTCCGGGCAGAAACCGGCCCGTGGCCATGTCTAGTTCAAGCCAAATAAGAATATACAAAATGTTGTGAATATAACATTTTTATTTAAATAGATAAGACTCGGCATGTGGTGATTGGGAGCGTGAAATAAAGATAATGAGATTCGGTGAAAAGGCATAGGGATATCAATTCAATAAACAAACAATTTACATTCTTTCCAATAGCAGGGTATTCAAAAAAGTTATTCGAGCTCCATGAACAAAAGTACGTGGAAAATCCTAATTAACCATGGAGAGCATAGAAAGCAAATTATTCATTTCTTATTAACACCAACATACATTAGGAGCAATCGAACAGAAAAACTAATAATCGAGAATCACTTGAATGGCGGCGGGCATGGCCCAGCCCCATGAGGGGCATGGACAGGTTGACTTCCACAAACATCAATCTTGCTCACCGCCAGCTTTTCGACACGGCTTCCTCCTGAAAACGTGCATTTAGTTAGATAGTCTCCAATTCAGACATTATTACCTTCAAACTTCGAATCCTAAAAGAACATCACTTGCAAAATGTGGAATCGAATTCTTTTCCATCCCCTATAATCGCTTCTCTCAAAAACCGGATTGTTCTTAATTGTTATCCGGTCAACTCATGTTTTGCATTTTCTAATTTTGCATGCACGTATAGAGATAGCGCTCACCGTTGCTCATCGGGCGGGCGTCGGCGACTCTTGAAGAGATGATCGTGTTAGATGAAAGGACTAGGAAAAGAAGGAAGGCGAGAGAGGACTTGGTATGCATCATGCGTGCTCCTCATTGTCGTGCGGTTGTACAATGGATACAGATGTAGAAGGAATGAGAGCGCTATATATAACAATGTCGACCTCGTGAAGTTGAAGATATGCCGTGTATTGCGGTTCAAAAGTTTCGCCGTTGACCGACTGTGAAACACCGATGAGCATCTTCTTTGAAAGAATCACTTTATTGGGTGAGTTTTTGACGGGCCTCTCTTGGACTAAAGGGCGCAGTACACACGGCGGACCCGGATGAATGGTCGCGAGCAAGAATTGCAGGAACCTAGTCAATACGAACACACTTTGTTCCAATTAACGTGTGGTCGTACGATGTAATGATTCTAGAATGATTGAGAGTGCTATATATATGTTTCGCTGCCAACCTCGACTTTGAAAACATGGAGCAGAAGATGAGCCATCAACATCATGTGCTGGGGTCCATACGCGGAGCAGAAGATGAGCCATCAATATCATGTGCTGGGGTCCATACGTTTCGCCGCCAACCTCGACTTTGAAAACATGGATGAGCATCTTTTTGACAAATGGTGCATTATACATAGAAAATGTCTCGCTTTCTTAGGTGAGTTCTTGACGAGCCTCTCTCGGACCATTTCTGCGAAGCTCACGTTTTGTTGATAAGGGTTGTCATCCACTTTATATGTATGAAGCACTATTTTTCTTCAGTAACAAATTTAACTTCAAAATTATTACAAGTGTATCAGTTTCGAATTTTTTATGATCAAAAAATTAGTTCGGGATAAATTTGTTACAGGTGTACCGATTTGAGATTTTTCGTGATATTAACCCCGAAAAGAATTAAAGAAAGAAAATGGTCATCCATGTTTTCAAACTTTGTTGGCGAAGCTCATGTCTTGTTGATATCAGTTGTCGTCCACTTCTATCGAGGCAAAACTTACTTCTTTTTAAGTTGATTCCGGCTTTGGATGAGTTGATACGTTAAGATTAATTAACAAAAGTCGTGTATAAAGCTCGCTTCCTCATCATTAAAAGAAAATTTGGTTATGGCATTGGTCCCTGAACTTTTTCGATTTAGGCAATGTCTCCTCTGGACATTTTTTGCACAATCGGATCCTTGAAAATGTTTGATTGTTGTGATTTTTGTCCTCCCATCACATGCTTGAACTGAAATGCTGATGTGCTAGTCAAATGGCCGTTAGTTTGGACTGAAATGCTGATGTGGCAGTCGAATGGCTGTTTAGTGCTTACGTGGCATCTATGAATCGCCAATGTGATGCCTACGTGGCTTTCACAAATTTTAAAAATTAAAAGATATGTGACGTTAATTTTTTAAAAAGAAAAAAAAATTGAAAACATACATTAGCCAGAAGAATTGCAATAGAATAACTTTCTTGAGTTATTGCCTTTACGCATGGAAAGATAAAATCCCCGATACAAAGAAAGATAAAATGAGTTTGTCAACTTTAGAAACTCTTGCTGCACTTGCCAAAAGTACAAGAATTGCTCCACTGGTCTTGATCTGATTTAGAGCAATTTTTGAAATTGCTTTGCTGTTGAGAGATATTTTCTCCAATAGCGCACGCATGGCTTCTATTAATTTTTAAAATTGAAAGATATATAAAGTTGATCTTTTTGAAAAGGAAAGAATTTGAAAACGAAAATTAAAAAAGAAACTTCAAAAGCGGATGATGGCGGAGGAGGATGGCGAAAATGTTGCGGAAGGCCACAGACCTTGCCACAAGCTGGTGGGTCTACAAGTTCCTCGTCAACCACTGCCCCCTTGCCGTTGTTGGCGAGGCAGGGGAGGGCTACGTTTGCCTCTCTCTCTCTTTCTCTCTCTCGTAAAGATACCCATTATCAGTCGCAGCCCCATTCCCAAATCTATGAAACCCTCATTCAATCGTGGATGAGGTTCAGCCACCCTCGTCGCCCTTTCAAGATGAAGACGAAGACGAATACGATGGCGAGGTCAACCAGAACCTGTTTGAGTGTCTCTGTCCAACCCTCTCTTAGTCTGAGTATGTTGCGCTCTTGTGAATGATTAGAGGCGGTGACGATGCTCGACCACTAACAAGGGTTGCTGGACCCTCGTCGGTTGCTTGGCACCACCACCATTGCTGCCATCGCAGCCCCCTTTACCCAATGTGCACCTCCCCTCACTCTTTTTTGACTCTATCTAGTTTCCTTTTTTATTTTTATTTTCGGTCTTCGCTTTCTATTTTTTTATTCCACATCAGCAACTATCTAAAACGATAACACTGATGTAACGCAAATATGGATGTTATCTCAGCATTTCCGTCCAAGTATATATAATGAAAGAACGGGCATGAACAAAAAAAAATACAAAGTTCAATGACCTGGTTGCACCAAAGTATGTGGAAACCCTAATTAATCATGGAGAGTATAGAAAGCGAATTATTTTTTTCTTTATAACACCAAGAAATATTAGGAGCAATCAGAATAGAAAAATTAATAATTGAGAATCGTTCGAAAGATTCACGATGGCAGGCATGGCTTCCAAGGCTGGCCCTTTGAAGGGCCATGCCGGGGTTGACTTCCGCAAACGGCAATCTTGCTCACCGCCGTCTCTTCAAAATTGCTTCCTCCCGAAAACGCGCATTTAGTTAGTCTCCAATTTAGACATTATTGTCTTTAAACTTCGAAATCTAAAAGAACACTATTGCTCCTTCAGCATCGTAATTCACCATGCGATTAATTAAGTGGGATTAAATAGATTCACTTTGGTCAATTCAAATTCTGTCTTCTAGTTTAATCTCAGCCCATGATGGGACCTGAAAATGACATCCATAATTGGAACATACCGTGCTCTTGATAAAACATCAAAATTGCAATGAAATAAAAGATCCAAATGTTTTATCTAGAGAGGTTTATGGATATGATAATGCCCCTTTCCAGGAGATTAAGCAACCAATTCTTTGGTATTACAATCGGAACCATTGGCTAGTGGATTTTTCAAGATTTTTACTTTCTTGTCCTCGGACTTTCAGAAGAAGTCACCCTAAATAAAAATCGAATTTGAGATCTTACACTTCCTCTGAAAACTTTTAGGTACTTTCGGAACATGTCCTTCTTGTCTGTTCAAGCCAAATAAAAGTACATAAAATATTGGGAATATCGTACTTTCACCCAAATAGATAAGACTTAGCGCGATGGTTGGCTTGCATGGTGAATAATGCGGTACTTGGGGAATGTGAAATGAATATATCAAGATTCGCAGTGGCTTATCGGTCTTCACCGGTGATAATTCAGAAAGTCATGGTAAATTATGCCTTTTTAAGTACTAGGTCGAGCCCTTTATTAGGAGTACTTTTCAGAGATGTGGCGAAAAGGCATAGCGATATCGATTCAACAAACCACCAAATTAAATCATTTCCCATTGGCGGTGTATTCAAGGGAATCATTTGAGCTCCATGAACTGAAGTATGTAGGAAAACCCTTATTAACCATGGAGAGGATCGAAAGTAAATTATTATTTTGTATTGTTTCCTTAAAACACCAAAAGAAACTAGGAGCAGCCGAACAGAAAGTTCAATAGTCGAGGATCATTTGAATCTTGACGACGGCGGGCCTGGGGGGTTCACTTTTGAAGAGGCATGCTCGGGTCTACTTCCAACAACACCAATCTTGCTCACCGCCATATATCCGGAGCTGCATCCTCCTGAAAACGTGCGTTTAGTTAGTCTCCCACTCAGATATTATCGTCTCCAAACTTCGAATTCTAAAACAACGTTACTTTCGAAATGTGAAACCGATCTCTTTTGCATCCCCTATAATCACTTCCCTCGAAAGCGACCGTTCTTAATCATCACGTCAGCCGTTTATCCATTCAGCCCACGATTTGCACTTTCACATTTGTGCATGCATCTACAGAGATTGAAGTGCTTACCGCTGCTCATCGGGCGGGTGGCGGCAGCGGGACCATTCGAAGAGATGATTGCGTGAGATGAAAGGGCTAGGAAAAGAAGGAAGACGAGGGAGGTCTTGTGAAGCATTGTCCTCTCTATTGGAATGTATGATTCTACGATAAACGTGTGTACATGTAGAGAATCAGTGAGACTGAGAATGCTATATATAACAATGTTGAGCAAATGGAGTTGACGATAAGCCGTGTATCGTGGTACAAATGTTTCAACGTCAACCCACTTTGAAAACATGGATGAGCATCATTTCGAAAGATAGTGCATTGTACATATAAAGTCTCTCTCTCTCTCTTTGACCAAAGGTGCGCACCTATCAAAATGGGTTATAGACTCATTTCTTAACCCATATATAATGGGATGGGTTGTTACATATGTTAGTTATATTTAGTAAATGAGTCATAAATAAATTTAAACATAACATGAATGTTAAATGAGTTATAAATGAGTTTACAACTTATGACCATTTCTTCATTCTCTCTCGCCCTCATTCCATCTCGCACTCACTCACCTCGATTTAGATACAAGGTTTCCTAGATTTGGTTAAATATAGAAGTGCTTTAACAATATGAGTTTTACAAATTTAGAAAATTAAAAGATATATGAAGTTAATAATTCTGGACAGAAAAAATTTGAAAACAAAAGATAAAAAAGAACCTTCAACAATCGACGATAGCGGACAGGGCGGAGGAGGATGGCGGAAATGGCGCGGGGGGCCACAAGGTTCAGCCGTCTGCCAACAAGGACGAAGATAAGCTAGGTCAATTCGAACCCGCCTGAGTATCTCTGTCCAATCCTCTCTCAGTCCGAGTATGTGCATTTGGGGGTGGCTAGAGGTGGTGGCGATGCCCAGCCAGCAACAAGGGTTGTTGGATCCTTGCTGATGGCTTGGCACAATAATTGTGACAAGTATATAATGGAAGGACGAGCATGAACAAACAAATACGAAGTTCAATGACCCGGTTGCATAAAAAAAAGGTCTAAGGTCTACACTGCACAAATTGTAAAAGTTCAAGAACCCTCCATGCCATTATCCCAAAGTGACAGTGAGAGGTCTGTTTGCGGCATGTTTGTCAAAAAGGGAATTCATGAGCCAATTAGTTGGGCATCTATACATTTCGAAATTACTGACAAGCTTTTCTCATAGGTCTAATCTTACATTGGATTTAGTTTTCTTGCCAAGTGGAGATCACGTTGTAGTTGTTAATCCTAGACAATGCGCTTCTTAAGAGATGCGATGAACCCAACAAATTGGAACCATTGAGCTTGATAACCTAGTGATAAAAGGAGTCATATTGTTTTCCAAGAAATCACAAATTCGAGTTATGTCGTGAGCAAATCTCTAGCAAATTTATGCCTTGGGCATTTGTTAGTTGTGTGGAGAAAATTCTTGGCTTCTAACACGTTGGTGGGATCGCGGTAATGGAGTCGCACACCAATACGATGGGTTAGTGGGTTAGGTATTGTTTTTTTTTTTTTTTCACTTTCTTGTTATTTGATTTCAAGAGAATTACAAGAGGTCATGCTAAATAGAATCAAATTTGAGATCTCACGCTTCCTCTGAAAAACTTTAAAGTGCTTTTGAAATATGATATCCCTGTTGGATTGCACGGTGGATGACATGGTATTTCGGGAGCATGAAATGTGGTGAAACGGCATAGGATATCAATTCAATCAACAATCCCATTCGCAGTGTATTCAAAGAAATCATTTGAGCTCCATGAACAGAAATATGCGGAAAACCCCAAATAACCATGGAGACTATAGAAAGCGGATGATTTGTTTCTTTATAACACCAACAAATATTAGGAGTAATGAGCAATTGAACAGAAAATTTAATAATCGAGAATCATTCGAAAGATTCACGATGGCGGGCATGGCTTCGGAGGCCGGCCCTTTGAAGGGGCATGCCGGGGTTGACTTCCACAAACAACAATCTTGCTCACCATCGTCTCTTCAAAATTGCTTCCTCCTGAAAATGTGCATTTACTTAATCTCCAATTTAGAAATTATTGTCTTCAAACTTCGAATTCTAAAAGAACATAAAGGTGAAATCGATTTCTTTTGCATCCCCTATTATCACTTTCCTCAAAAGCGACTATTCTCAATCATTACTTTGAGCAGTTTACCCTGTCAACTCATGATTTGCGTTTTTCTCATTTTGCATGCATCTATATAGACTAACAACGCTTACCATTACTCATCGCTCGGGCACCGGCGACTTTCGAAGAGATGGTTATGTGAGAAGAAAGGAATAGGAAGAGAAGGAAGACGAGAAAGGCCCTGCGGAGCATCATGTTGGCCGGCCCGTATGGCTCGGCCAAGCGCCCTAGGATCACCATAGCGAGATATTAACGGTACGGTAAAAGGATGGATAGAATTTGTGCACCTGTTTTGGATTCCATCGGCCTGGATGCAGAAATGACGATGAACCGGTGCCGTAGGTCTTCTCCCCTGTCACCCCCGAAGTCCCGGTGCTATGGGACCGCCTTAGCCAACTCACGGAAGCCTTAGGTGAGTTTGAGAGCGTTTGAGAGAGATTGGAGAGAGTTAGGTGCAGAGGAGGGACCTGCAGCTCTATTTATAGGGTTTCCAGCCAAGCCCTCTCATAACGGGCCGGGCCGAACTCGGCCCACACAAGCCGGGCCCATATCCGACCAATTAAGAAACCTTATATCCAAACTTATTAGACCAAACCCATAAGGGGGTAATAACAATCTCAATTAATGTAACCCACATTAGGAAAACGTTACATTCTCCCACTTGGGCTATATTAATTGAAATTGTACCTTATGTGCACCTTTATTTGGTCTATGGATAATTCTTAATAGTCAATCCGATCCCATAAAGTTTCAAACACCGAATCATGGCGGTAACTGCATGTAATCACGCAGAGCCTTCCATGGTCACAAGTGTCTTAGACTTTACTGATATGGATTCGATATGGTTTTGTGGCAAACGGATGACACCTCATAAAGAGTGATACCTCATGTGTCATCCCCTTTGTCAGTCCTCATTCTCTTTCCTTAAGTGTCACAAAAACCTGATGTGTCACTAGAGAATATCTTTATGGTTCCAATGAACCTACATATGTCTTATCCTTATTGTTAACATTACTTTATGTGTAATAAGACATATCCTTAAGGCTAATAACTGAATGCCCATAGCCTTTACTCAAGGTTTATACAGTACCTTAAGATTTTCACCTTATATGTGTATTTAACATGACAACAATGCATTCAGAAATACCTTATTGAATGCAAATGAGTTGATACACATCCAAAATGTTACAAAGAGTAACAAAACACATATGTAAACTTTATTAGAGCATAAATAAAAACAGCTCCCACTAAACAACAGTATCCCATGATATTCCTAAGCCCATGCTAACGACATGTCTTTCAAAAATACAGGGGCGAAGGCCTTTAGTTAGTGGGTCTGCTACCATATCGTCTGTGGAAATGTGCTCTACTGTAATGTCACCATCCCTGACTTTTTCCTTTATGGTCAAGTACTTGACCTCCATATGCTTAGACCCCTTGAGACCTCTGTTGTTGTTAACAAACAACACTGCAGAGTTATTGTCACAATACAACTGTATGGGCCGATCCACAAAATCAAATACGGTCAACTCCCTAATGAGGTTCCGAAGCCAAATTGCCTGAGTAGCGGCCGAAAAGCATGCTACAAACTCCGCTTGCATGATAAAGGATGCCATTGATTTCTGTTTCTCATTTTTCCATGATACTGCACCTCCTGCTAACTTAAAGATGTAACCCGTTGTCGACTTCCTTTCATCCTGACAGCCAGCAAAGTCTGAATCCGAATACCCTACCAGCTGTAGGTCTTGAACATGTCTGTAGATCAGCATATAGTCTTTTGTCCTCTTTACGTACCTCAAAACCTTCTTGGCAACAACTTAGTGATCGTGTCCTGTATTTGACTGATATCTGCCTAGAAGTCCTGTTGCAAAAGCAATGTCTGGCCTAGTGCAAACTTGAGCATACATGATACTTCTAAGTGCACTAGCATAAAGGTAAGGTACATCCTTCATTTGGGTTTTCTCAACATCCGTATGAGAACACTGTGACAAACTCAGTTTATCACCCTTTATGACAGGAGCAATTCCTGGCTTGCAGTCCTGCATACTGAATCTTTCCAGAATACGATTAACATATGTTCTCTGAGACAAACCCAATACTCGGCGAGAACGATCCCTATGGATCTCAATGCCTAGGACAAAAGACGCCTTATCAAGGTCCTTCATGTCAAAATCCTTCGATAACATTCGCTTTGTCTCATGTAGTAATCCAATATCACTACTCGCAAGCAAGATGTCATCTAGATAGAGTATGAGAAAAATAAATTTCCTCCCACTGACCTTGCTGTATATACACTGATCCAACTTGTTCTCAACAAAACCTAATGAAGTGACAACACTATGAAACTTCAAATACCATTGTCTAGAAGCTTGCTTAAGGCCATAAATAGATTTCTTCAATCTACACACATGCTCACCTGAATCATCAGCTGCAAAACCTTCGGGTTGCACCATATAGACTTCCTCATCAAGGTCTCCATTTAGAAAGGCAGTCTTAACATCCATCTGGTGTAATTCCATATCAAAATGAGCTACTAATGCCATGATCACTCTGAAAGAATCCTTAGAAGATACTGGTGAAAAAGTCGCCTCATAGTCTACTCATTCTCTTTGAGTGAAACCCTTGGCTACCAGTCTGGCTTTGAATTTCTCAATCTTTCCTTTGGAGTCTCTTTTAGTCTTGTATACCCATTTGCAACCAATGGGCTTGTAACCTTTAGGCAATTCAACAAGCTCCCAAACACTATTATATTTCATAGACTGAATCTCGTCTTTCATTGCATCCACCCACATATCTGATTGAGGACAAGAAATTGCATCTGAATGAGTTACTGGATCAACCACGCAGCCTATATCGTAGTCATGCTCTCCCAGAAAAATCATATAATCCGGTGGTATAGCCGATCGTCTCTGCCTGATAGATCTCCCGAGTGGAGCTACTACTTCCTCATCCTGCACCTGAGGGGTTTGATGTACTTCGTCAAGAACTATTTCAATAACAGGATCCTGGACCACAACAGGCTCAATCTGTGGTGCAAGGGTCTCCATTATCGTCTGTACAGGTAGAGAAATCGACACTGTAGTACCTACCATATTATTATCCTCAATGGTCTGTGAGCAACTACCCTTCTCGACTACATCAAATTCCAGAAATTTCGTTGTATGTGATTTGACAATTCTTGTGCCTCCATGAGGACTGTAAAACCGATACCCCTTCAAATGATCTGGGTAAGATACGAAGTAACATCGAGTGGTTCTGAATTCCAATTTGCTCAATGTTGGATTGTATAACCTTACTTCTACAGGACACCCCCAAACTTTAAAATGATTTAGGCTAGGTTTACGTCCAGTCCATAATTCAAAAGGAGTCTTTGGAACAACCTTGGTAGGAACACGATTTAGAATGTAGAGAGCTGTTCTCAAGGCTTCACCCCATAGAAAATCAGGTAAGTTCGTCCTGCTAATCATACTCATCATCATGTCCATAAGGGTGCGATTCCGTCTTTCGGCCACACCGTTTTGTTCAGGACTCCCGGGCATAGTAAATTGAGCCACTATTCCAGAATCTTCCAAGTATTTGGCAAATGGCCCTTTCAGCTGTCCAGTATCGCCATGCCTGCCATAATACTCACCACCTCGGTCAAACCTGACAACCTTTATGACTTTTCCCAGCTGTTTCTTGACTTCAGTCCGAAAAATCTTGAACTTGTCAAGAGACTCAGACTTCTCCTTAATCAAGAACAGATAACCATATCGGGAATAGTCGTCTATAAATGTGATGAAATAGAAATTTCTACACAATGTTGCCGTATAGGGTCCACTGATGTCAGTGTGAATGACTTCCAACAGGTCAGAACTACGGACTGCGATTTTCTTCTTTATCTTAGTCATCTTACCCCTACAACAGTCTACGCAAGTATCTAGGTCACTTTCAAGAGTAGGCAGGATGTTTGTCTTTATCAGCCTTTCCACTCTTTCCTTAGAAATGTGACCAAGTCGTTTATGCCACAATGCATAAGATTGTTCCTTAGGTAGAGGTCTTTTGGAAACAACCCTTTCAGCTGTATAAGCGACGTATATATCATTGGGAGATAAACACAATATGTACAATTCATTCGATATGTTGCAGCACCCAACCTTATTTGAATCAAAGAACATAGAAATCATATTGTTCTTTATTTCAAAAGAGTAGTCACAAACATCCAAACTTGATACGGAAACTAAGTTCCGTCTGAAGGAAGGCACATAAAAGGTGTTTCTTAACATCATATTAAAACCAGAATCCAAAATTAATATGACATCTCCCACGAACTCGACGTCGACTCTCTTGTTGTTTCCTACAGTGAGCTTTAATTCATCCTGATTTGGCTTCCTTCTGTTTGTGAATCCCTGTATGGTATACGCAACATGATTAGTTGCACCGCTATCTAGCCACCAAGAACTGGATGGAGCTTCTAATAGGTTGGATTCACAAACAAGTGCCAAAGAATTAATACCTGACTGCTCACGCTTGGACAACCAAGTTTTATATCTATTGCAGTCTTTCTTCATGTGACCCTTCCTCTTACAAAAGTAGCAGCGAACACCATTCTTCTTCAAGGGTGTTTTCTCATGACCCAGATGGTCTAAAGGACCGGTGGTTTCAGGAGTTCCTTTCTGAGTACGATTCTTAAACTTACTACTCTTCCTGCTACTGGAACTAGAGGCATAGAAAGCAAGATTCCCTTTATCTTTCTTCAGTTTCTCTTCCTCTACCACAACCCTAACTATCAGGTCATTGACCGACCACTTTTCATCTTGGGAATTATAGTTGGTCTTTATAATTCCAAACTCAGTAGGAAGGGTGTTCAGGGCTTGATACACAATGTAAGCATCAGAAAGGATAATCTCATGAACCTTTAGTTTTGTCTGGAGGTCTACCATTCTGAGGACGTAATCCCTAACCCCACTTGAACCATCATACCTCATATTATTGAGTAACTGCATATATGTCCCAGCCTCAGCATTAGACGAGTCACGGTTCCTTGCTTGCAAGGTTTCCATCATTTCTCTAGCAGTGCGGTCAGCTGGTAAACTACTCTTCAAGTGGTCCTTAATGGATCGCTTCATCAGTAACAAGCAAATCCTATTATTCTTTGCCCAGGCGGCAGTCAATGTCTTTTCCATATCCGTACTATCAGCAGTGACATCTGCTGG